CAAATCAAACACAAATACAAGCAGAGATCGTTCGGTTGAATGATTCAATCAACCTACACGGCTAGAGATTATGTCTCAATAACATTTTGTAACAAGAAGGCAATCATAAACGACAAATCAAACAAATCAATAACACATAGGCAATACAATTACGAACACGCCTATTCTACACAAGCATAGATCAAACAACTCCTCCCTTTCGGTTACAAAAGTTGTTTAATCGGATTAAAAAGTGATCAATCTCTCAATCCTAGGTGTTATTCAACTCGCTTAGAATAAAGAATAACAAAGCATGATAAATAAACACGTGAATATGAATAATTATCCCCTATCCCTAGCAAATGATTTAGTCACTCATGTCAAGATGAACACAAAACAATATATCAATCAAATACCCCAAACTCATAATCAAAACGAGATGAAAACTTACTATTAATAAAAGTCAAGTATTGAATCTCAAACATATTCTAAATCCACAATTAAAAATAGTGTATAAATGACAAAATACATATATTATTACTCTTCTTCTTCTTATTCTTCTTCTTATTATTACTATTACTATTACTAATTAATGTTATAATTATTTATTTTATTTAATTTCCAACACTCGTAATGTTTTGGGTCTCTTACAAAAATATCACATGCCACATAAGAAATAGACTTAATCTACAAAAAAATATTTTCCAGTGCAATTAAGGCTTTGTATATGAGTTAATTTACTCACTTTTATTTAAACTCAAAATATAACTCAACTTTAACTCAACCCCACTATCTTTAATATTATTTATATAATTAAATAATATAAACCAATTATTTTTACACATCACATCAACTTTCATTCACTATTCATCCACTCACATAATTTGAACTACCTATCATTTTCAGTCATTTATTTATTACTTTACATAAAATTAATTTTAATCATTTATTTATTACTTTTAATCATTTATTTATTACTTTTACATAAAATTAGTTTTAATCATTTTATTTTAAATATTATTTTAATACATTCTTAAAATTCCTTTAATAACAAGTCATACCACATTTTCAAAATTAACTATGGTAACCAAAATCAGAAATTCTATGGCACCACATGTGGCACCATATTATGGTGCCACAACATGATGTGACACANNNNTTCTATGGCACCACATGTGGCACCAATCATAATGTGCCACATCATGTTGTGGCACCATAATATGGTGCCACCATGTGGTGCCATAGAATTTCTGAACCAAAATAACTCATTTAGAACAAATTATTTAATAAACAATCAAGCCCTAAAAGTTAGACATGGTCTAACTTATGTGACAAATAAAAAATGAGACCAAGTCCACACTTGAGTATGTGTTGGATCCAAGTACAAACTACAAACATGAATAGTGAGCATTTATTCCAAATTTAATTTTTCCTTGAATATAGAAAATATGTTAGACATCTTTATTGTTTGACAAATATTCTAAATCTAGTATTTTACTTTTGCATTATTTTCGTGTTTTTTTACTTGACCTTGTTCATATCATTTAAGACTTAAGTCTAATTGTATGTCAGATATGTAAAATTGAACACAATGTCTTGTAGGTATTCTAAATATCATTTTAAAATTTTAAAGAGTACCTCAAAATCTCATTACCGGGAATTCATACTTTTCACCACGAAATTTTCTTAAACCCCATCGAATGCTCCCCATTTCGTAGCTCTGTGGACAGTGGACATGGCGACTCCCGACATCCAAACTCCGCCGCGATTGGCCGTAGCCGCCGCTCCACCTCTCCAACATTTATCCGGCCAATGCGCCTCCTCCTCCTCATATACACCCATATTGTCTATTCGGTAGATCACACCACCACCAGCACCACCGCGAAGGGCAGCTCAACTATAACCCTCGCCGGAGCTGCCCTCGCCCATGCCTTCGCTTCACGACTGCGTTTCATTTACCCAAATATGATGAGGTGATTCAGCCAGTACGAGCTATCATATCACTGCTCGATTCGTATCACGATGCTGACTGGCCTACCTTGGTGAGCTCGAATTACCTACATCGTTGTTCAGTTTAGCACACCCCCACTCGTCTATGTTAATACGTATCCGTGATCTTAATTGGAATCTAGCTCCGTGTTCTCGTATTATCAAACTGCGTGCACTTGTATGCGTGTTGAAAATCTGAAATAGTTACTATGAGAATTGTCTCTACTTTGGCCTATTTCCTAAAATTTATCTGACGTAGTTCATTTGTGAATAGAAGACTTCTGGCCTTTAGGACTGATTTGCGCGGTTGG